GTGTTACTGTTGGTTTAGGGAAGGGGTAGGTGGGCAGTTTCACAGAAACGTAAAATGGTCTGATTTTTGAAGGGTTGGATTGCATGTATGTTACAGTAGCTCCTCATGTCACCTGAATTCTGTACTGGTGCAATTAAGAGTCAAGCAATCTACTTCATCTGAGCCATCATTACAATTATCTTCAGAGTCACATCTCCAGTCTTGTGGAATGCAGCGTTTATTCTGGCATTGAAACATGTTAGAACCGCATTGGTGTTCTACAAACCAACAAAAATCTTCAATTTGACTATTTTCTACGAACTGTTAAGCCTACCAGGCAAGCGCAAGAAAATATGGGGCGCGCAAGGAGGAATACTTTCTTGCGCCTGCTACATAAGTTGAGAATTGTTAATAATTAATGATCATGATTATCATCTTCTATGACCTAGCTCAAAAGATGAGGCTTTAAGCGTACTAAATAAACCCCGACCCGCTTGTCTAGGTAACGTTGTGTACAGCAAGGGAAAGTGCTCCCCATATCAGTATAATGCTAACGTATGAATCGCAAGAATACGTAAGCTCTTAACTGACAACGGCTCGAAAGTACCTATACCTGCACCTGGATCAAAAGCGATGATTTGACTGCAGGCAGTACAGAATACCAAGTCCAAACTGATAATATCAAACAAAAACTAACCCAGAGTAATGGTTCCAGTCAATAATACATCAAGCTACTGTCTAATAGCATTGGAACCCCCTGTATCCAAACGATGACATCCTGAACAGTGGTTCGCTTATTAATGCTCCTAATGGCCAGTTACTTAAAAAAAGAAATTACGAACCTTTGCAAACCTCAGGATCCTCGTCTGACCCATCATCACAATCACCATCTCCGTCGCAGGTCCAACGCTTAGGAATGCACTTGCGTGACGCGTTACACTGAAAACGCGTGACAGGGTCACAGGTTTGACTGTGACATACACTGGGTGACTCATCGCTTTCATCTCCGCAATCGTTACCTCCGTCACACAGCCACTGGCGTGATATACAGCGACCGTTTGGACACGTGTGCTGATCTTTAGAGCATGTAGTGGGCTTGCAGTGAAGTTCATCCGAGTTGTCAGCACAGTCGTTCTTTCCATCGCACACTTGTGATAGAAACACGCATCTCTTGTTTGCGCACCTGAACTGAAAAGGAGCGCACTGTCGTGATGCGCATGACGTTTCGTCAGCACCGTTGGCGCAATCCTTGTGACCGTTGCAGACTTGTATGATTGACACGCACGTCGCGTTATCACATTGAAACATTCCTGAAATTGTGGTACGAAATAATACAGAAACTATGTTAGATTTGGGTTGTTTATTTTGTACGCCGATCACACCCTGGACACAAAAGCTGTTAAGTTAAAAATCGCATAAAGTTCTTCTGTTGACAGATGTTGGATTATATTTAAATGAGACGAGTTCTCGACAAAATAACAGTTTGGAGTTTTTAAAATTTTACTATGCGTGATAACCGTGTTTTATATCACGGTGCTAATTAACTGGGCAATGTGTTGCTAGAGCTGATGTCAATGCTTAAATATAGTCTTAAATAACAAAACTGGACCATATTTAGTGGAATTCAATAGACGCGAAATAAGTTTTAGATTTGTTAGCCAATTTAAGTGACGGTTCAATACTTACCCGGTTGGCAATGTCTTGGTGAACAAAAAGAGGGTTCATCAGAGCCATCTCCACAATCATTATCGCCATCACAGCGCCACACGCGAGGAATGCAAAGATTATTTGCACAAAGGAATTCGCTGTTAGTACAGTTGTCCAGGCAGGTTTTACCGTCATTTGCCAGATGATAGTTGTCCGGACAAGCGCAGCGGTACCCCCCTTGCGGCTTCAGCAAACATAGCCTAGAGCAGGAGGAGTTGGCACAAGGCGAAGGGAGGGGAGGCTGACGGAATGGATGTACTACCTTAAACAAAAAAGAAATAGTTAATCAAGAAGTACATGTAACAACTTCTAATCATAAAAGTAAATTGTTTCTTGGTAAACAGCAGTAACCCTGTTCGTGATCTGCATTAACCACACAGAAGGAATAGCAGTAATGGCAAGATACCAGATGAAAATAAAAATAGTGGAGATTGCGATTTAGGGAAGGAAAGTGGTCTCTTGGTGATTACTGAGTTCAAAGGGCCTAGTGTCCGCTGCTTCAGTTTACCCTTATAAAAGTAAAGTAACAGTACCTTAAAGCTTTAAATAGCTCACAGCCAATTCGTAAAGGGCTTGGTCCACGAAAGTCTAGTTATAGCTAGATGTTCCCTAAGAATTCTACCAATGTGCAAATGGGTCATATTGGGATTGAAATTGACATTAATTTGTCAATAACCAGCTTATTCTAGGAAAAAAAACTAGCTAGAATTTTGAAAAGGTTACTGTGCTAAACATCCATATTTATTGTTCCACAACTATCTCCAGAGCAGCCATTATAACAACTTAGACTGTAAACATTACTTTTTCTTCTCTTCTCCTTCACCTTCACTGCTCCTCGTTTTCTTTTATTTTTTTCCTTTGCCATGGCGAGTAATATTCAGGCATGTTCGACCTAACTAACTCGAGTTTCAGCGTGACAGGGGTCAAATGGCCCACGGAATTTTACAGTGGCCACCTTTCGGCTTTAAATTACCTGCAAGCCCATGAGTCTATGCGAGGAATTCAGCAACACAGAATGTTGCAATCCTGTGAGTCTATGCGCGCGGTGGATAGCCATGGTCAACCAGTCTGTCCAGTAAACAAAGTCTTCAAATACGCTGATAGAAAACGGATGTGGTGCGTACAACTTAGTCAGCTGGATACGGTTCTGTCCATCCCGATCACATGATTCAATGGTATCGAGCTTGGCATCCACCCAGAATAACCGTTTGGTAATTTGACAGAGGGTTAATCCGTTAGGCCAGCCTACAGACTTGCTTGTTATAAACCAGTGTCTGCCCGAGCCATCTAAACCACACTTTCCAATGTGAGGTTTACTGCCCCAGTCACTGTAATAAAAGAAACCTGAAAGAAAAATTAACCTTTAGGAGCAAGGGTTAGCTCAGTCGATTAGTGCGCAGCCTTCTGTGCGGGAGGTCTCGAGTTTGATTCCCAAGTATGACCCAACATCCTTGTTTCGCCTTTTTTTCCTTTCCGCGTACGTAGTTAACTCTAAATACCCGTAACTCGGAGCACTGATGAAGAGGGGAAGGGGGGTAATATGTGCCCACCGTCGGAGTCGGCGTCAGGTTTTTCATTCTCATGCATGCTATTCAGTCCCTATCTGATATTGCCAAATGCCACGAAACGTATTACTTGGAAAAGGCAAATGTGCTGATGTTAATGTCAACCCTTTCACACCCGACAGTAGCCAAGAAAAAAATTGACAAGAAAATTCAAATAGGCCATTTCCGAGTTAAAAAACTCACCTTCAAAACGAGGCTAAGTGCGCACACCTTCCTCTTCGCACTTAGCCTCGCTTTGAAAGAGAGGCTAGGAGAAACTCGGAAATGGACTATTTCTGATAGTAAAATCCTAAGAAATAACTAGTCCTATGCAAACAATCTACCAAAGAAGTTTTTATTTGAATGATTACACCACAGAATTTCATCCACAGATTTACGCCTGAGATTGACAATGGTAATCAATGGTAAAAATCACTGGGTACGAATAAAGTTGTAGTTGCTTTTCACGCTTCAGTAATTTTCATGTTTTTGAGATACTTACCATCACTTGGATCAATTATCACTGCTCTGGGCTCCTGTAGGCCATCAGATATCAATGACTTCATGTAACGTCCATCAAGCGTCGAAACAAAGATCTTGTCTTGAATTCTGTCTGCAAGGTATAGATTTCGTCCAACCCAGTCCACAGCTAAACCTTCCACAATGGACAAACCGGCTTCCCGGACAACCTCCACGCCAGTACCGTTTAAAAATGCACGCATAACACGCGAAGGCCTTAGGCCTTCAGTCCAATACAATCGCTGTTCTGACCAATCAAAATCAATAGCAACTGAGTTTTGAATTTTTCGTAAGATCGAACCCTCCCGCGAACCGTCAATGGCGAGTTTACGAACCTCGTACCGCAATAAAAACGCCAGAAAAGGTTGTATGGTGGAGTTGATTGGTTTACAAGTGTGTACGTCACCCGGTTGGAGTTTGTAGCCTTCAGCACAAGTACACTTGTAATGACCTTTGAGGTTAACACAGTAGTGGTTACACTTATTAAGCTCGTACTGTTCACACTCGTTAATATCCTCACACGACGCTCCGTCGGTTAGAAGCTTGAAACCATGGCGACAAGAACAAGTGTAACCGGTGCGAGTACTGTTGCACAACTGCGAACACTGCAAAAAAAACAGCATACATTTGCATCAATAAAAATGTCTCGCAACAAACATTAAGGGGCTTTTCTTTTGAAAGCTTCCCATTTCAGTAGACGGGCTCTGTTAGTCGTCCACCTCAAATACATACACCTCCTTCGCCTTAAACGACCGTTCCTACTGTAGAACACGTGATATTCTTAAGAGATCTGCTTATTTGAGCCGTCGTCTTGTTAAAGATACAATTTAAAGCATTCATACCAACATGAATATGTCCAGAAAATACTCACTCGAATATCATCACATCATAACAGAAAAAACTAAGCGAACAAACCCCTTTTGTTAAAAATACCTTGTTTCGATCAGGTCGACTACAGGCATTCCTTTTACAACCCCGTTCATCAGTTCCGTTGACACAATCTTCGTTTCCATTGCAGACTAGGGTTGAATTCAGGCATTTTCCATTACCGCAATTAAAATACCCCCGGGGGCACGAGGGGGTCGGGGTTCTGCTGCACAATACCGGGTCTTCATCTGAGCCGTCTGAGCAGTCCCTAAAAGCGTCACATACATAGCTTCTGGGCACACAGTAACCATTTGTACACGTGAACTGATTTTCACTGCAAGTATGGTTAAAGCAGCTGGATTCATCTGAGCTGTCACCGCAGTC